CCAACAAAAAGACCACAGAATGAGGAAATATTAAAAGAAAAATAGTACTGAAAATAAATACGATGCAAATAAGACAGTTAAAAAATATGTTATTTCATTAGGCATATGTGAGTTTACAGTACATAAGACTATTTTAGTGAAAACCAAAAGAAACAATTCAACTCTATTCCTTATGCAAGTGATATACCTAAAACAAAGTTATCCATAAGACTAAACATACAGAAAAATATACCTGGAAAATGCAAATAGTAAGAAAGCAGTCCATGTGGTATTGATATCAAACAATGCAGTGTCTTGAAGCAATAGATAAAACAGAGGGGGTTCTGCATAATTCTTAAAATCAAAGTACACCATGAATTTTGAATTCTGAATATCTATGTATGAAATAGCCCAACAGTCACCACTGTAAATCAGAACTCATGAAGTATTGACAGCATACTAACAACAATGACTAGCACATCTCCCAAAAGCTACAGACAGATCAGCTGGTAAAAATACACCTGCTAACTATGAATCAAATAGTAAGACTGGCCTGAGATTCAAACTCTGCACTCTAATAGAAATACAGTAAAGTAAAATATTTACAAAAATAGAATTTCTCTTCCACTAAGTATTTTTTAAAACATGCCTTTTAAGAAATGTACTTATATATTGAATAACTTTGAGGCCAAAGAGCAAACAGAAACCTAATATCACAAAATAATTGTAATGAAAACACCATGTGTTTTATGGAAGATAATTAAAGGGCAAGGAAGAGAAAATGAATAACTCTACAAATTTCTATAAACAAAATCAAAAGGAAGAAAAACTAAAATAAGTGTCTCACTCAAGAAACAAGGAACTAGAGGGAAGAGAATATTAAAAATAAACCTGAAGGGTGAAAATGCACTAAACTCCATTTTGACTAGCTTCTTCAGACAAAGCCCAGCCAGACCCAGGCATATTGTAAATCTCCAGCTGCTCCCCGCCCCCCCAAAAAAGCCATAGATTAAGGAAGCCTGGGCATGTAAAAGCCTTATAAGGTAGAAACAGAAACTTCTGTCCCTAAAAGATAACAGTCAACACATTCCAATGCCCTGAAGACAGCCCAGTCCAATCAGAACTTTCCCTGTACTCAGGATGTGGGGACATCCAATCATTTTAAAAGATGCTTGGCAGCATGGGTTTCTGTGGCGTTCCCCAATAAAAGCCCCTGCCTGCTATTGTTCGGGGCCAGACTCTATTTTTGGCTTGTGAAGTCTGTGCCTGGCTAGCTGCCATTCGGTTGCTTTTGCTCTAAATTCCTGAATAAACCTTTTTGTACAATTATCTTGGTGTCTGGGAGAATTATTCTCGATTCTCGGACCCTAACAAAACCCAAAACGTAAACAAGCTGAAACTAAAAGTACAACTGTTAAATAAATCAAATTCTTCTCATTCGAAAGATAACAGAATAAGAAACAGCAAGATAAAAGCGATCTTGAAACAGAGGAACTACAATAACAAATAAATTTTCAAACACAGTGTAGAGTGAATGAAAAGAGGCGATGCCAAGTCTATATAGATCTGCTTCCATAATGTATAAATGAGAGCAACTGACCCAGAGGCCATCACAGCAAGATTCTACCAGACTTTCAGACATAAACCCACATGCTGCTCCAACTTTCAGAGAAGTGGAAGGATGCTTATAATTTTCATGCGGTATTCTATTGTTGCTGAAACTTGATAAAATATTCATGAAGAAGGAAAACTGCAGCCCAATCTCACTTTTACATCTCAATGGGGAAAAACCCAACTACAAGATAAGCAAAGAGAACATAAACTTTTATCTTAAAACTCATCATGATTAAGTCATTTACTAAGTACAGATGAGAACGAAAAGATGACTCATCACAGAATAATGTTAACATGGTTCCACATATTGATGGAGAGAGGAATCTATCATTCCCAGCAACACTGGAATGGACTCAACAGAATTCATACCTATTTTCTTTGCAGTGCCGGGCTTGAGCTCAGGACCTCACACACACTACTTAGCTACACCCCCCAGGCCAATGTCAATTCTTATTACAAAACAGGGAGAGAACAATAGAAGGATGGGTGGGAGAGACAAAGAGAATGAGGAAGAATGTGCACAATCACAGTTCTGTCCAGCCCTGAGGTGGTGGGATGTGCTGTCAGTGCATTATTTTAGCTTTCCTGTAGAATGACATTTTTTTCACAGAATTAAAAAGAAACATGTATACACTGGCTTCTATTTTAAAGTATTTACCTCTTTGTTTATGTTTCACATGAGGCTTAATTACTGCCAACAGGTTCTGAACTGGGAAGAAGTACTCTATTTCTTTTTCAGCAGTCTCTGTTGAATTGCTTCCATACAGTTGATTGACAGGGAAACTTCCCATTGCAAACTGTGCACATAAACTTTGAAAAAGAAGTCAACTTCAAAACCTAATGCAACAATCTAATATAATATAATACTACTTACACATGTTGCTCAAACATTATCAAGCAACTGCACCCTTTCCAAATCTAGGCACTGTGTAAAGGGATGTAATTAGCCAGTAGCTAGGGAATGCTGTGTCCTTTCAAGGAGGTAGCAGACATTTGGAAGAAAAGATGTGAACATTTACATCACAGTGATAATGGATCTTACCAGAACAATCTGGAAAGAAGGAATTTCCACTGCATTGAGGAAGCCCAGACTAGAATCCTGGCTGCCGTACTTGCTAGCAATGCAATATTGGATATGATTAAATTTCTCTGTGTAGTACTTTGGTGGTTAATATTTATTTTCAACCTTATGGGATTTAGAATCACCACAGAAACAAACCTTTAGGTTTATGTGTGAGGGAGTTTCAACATTAGTTTAATTGGAGTGGAAAGGCCCACCATAATTGTGGGTAGCAATATTGCACAGGCTGAAGTCTCAGACTGAATAAAACAGAGAAAGTTAGTGGGACACCAGCATTCTTCACTTGCTGCCTCCTGAATGTGGATGCAATGTGCTAAAGATAGGAAATTATACACATTGAGTCCAGGAGGTAAGATAATGAAAGCCTCCATGTGGGTAAACACAGCGGTGAAGGAGGAACACACAGGGAAGGGTCTGGGGAGAAAGGCAGGAACAGTGCAGATGGCACTGGACAATCCATGTTGAACTATCCCACTCATTTTGTTTCTGCTTCTGTTTCCCTTCAAGGCTATGGGTCCCACACATCCTTTGTTGAACTGGGGAGTTTTGCCAGTTGTTCTTTTAAAAAATATTTTAGTTATTACTTTTAATTTATGTGTATGAGTGTATTGCCTGCATGTATAGAAGTACACCTGTGTGCTAGATAGCTTTAGTGTCAACTTGACACACCTGGGTTGAGGGAGCCTCAATCGGGGAATTGCCTCTATTGGACTGGCCTGTGGCCATGTCTGAATGGCATCTTCTTGATGAGTGATGTGGGAGGGCCCAGCCCACTGTGGGTGGTGCCACCCATGGGCAGGTGGACCTGTGTTGCATAAGAAAGCAGGCTGAGCAGGAGCCGAGGGAGCAAGCCAGTAAGCAGCCTTCCTCCATGGTCTGTGCTCCAACTCCTGCCTCCAGGTTCCTGCCCTGAGTTCCTACCTTGGGCTCCCTGATGAACTGCAACCCAGAAGTTGTAAGCTGAATAAACCCTTTCCTCCCCAAGTTGGTAGTGGTCAGAGTGTTTTGTCACAGCAATGAAGAAACAAACTAGGACAACCTGTGTCATGCAATACCCATGGAGGTCAGAGGAAGAAGGTGTTGTCATATGCCGTGGAGTTCAGATGGTTGTTAGCCACCATGTGGGTGCTGGGAACTGAACCTGGGTCCTCTGCAAGGTAGCCAGTGCCCTTAACCGCTGAGCTATCTCTCTTGCTCTCCAGTTGTTCTTTTTACCTGTCTGTCCACACATACTTCAGTAGAGGAAATGTTCTCTGGCCATTTCCATTTCTGCTCTTTAGATTCAGCTCCGAGCAGCCAAACCAACAAAGTCTAGCCTATTCAATGCCAGTTCCTGCTCAGAAGGCTCTGAATCTTAACACCACTGGAAAGTTTTATTGTTTTTGTTTTTTTGTTTTTTTTGTTTTTCCCCAGACTTTCATGTCTTTATAGTTTCCTTGGGTTTCCTTTTGGCCTTTCCCACTTGACCTTATGGCTCACTCCTTGGTTATTCCCCACACTTTAATTTGGAAATATTTCCCTTCCAAGTCCCTTGGAACCAGTGATTGCCAAGGGTGGCCATTTGCACAATAAATGACAAAATCAGTGTGAGTCCATCAGCACTGACCATTGAATGCAGAGGCCTGAATCAGTCTCTTTTAGATATTAACCATAATTGCTAGAAAAAGTGTGTGTAGTGGGGGAGGTGTGAAAGCCTCCAGAAAGAGGGCTAAGGTGTGAAAATGCGGAGTGTTGTGATTCTCTCTTATGTAAGGGTCTATATTTTAGAAAAAGCAATGCAAAGCAAAGAATCTGCTGGCCAAGTAGAGGGAAGGGGGCAGGTCTCTGTTGTGTTATTTTGAAAATGGCTTGTTAGTGCTGGGAGAAACTAAGGAACCCGGTTAAAAAGAAAGACCAAACAAAATGGTGATCAAGAATTCATGTAATTCTTACCATAACAGTGATCTGGAGGGCAGGCGGCAGTCATTGAGTGCTTTCAGCTAGAGAAAGTACCTCTACCCTTGGAACCATGTTAGACCAATTTGTTTGCAGGCACAGGTGTCACAGTGGCAAACATTCAGCTCTCCTACAGTGTGCATTGCCTTCTACGACACATTAAACAGGTCCTATGGCACTCTTCTCACATCACTTTCTAAGTGTTCAACCTGTTTTATCCTTTATGATAGCTGTCCCTGCCACAGGAGCAGACATAAACCAGTAAGGCTGAATGAGAGGTGGACTCCATGTAGAACAAGTATGACTCAAATACCTCCTACCAAAGGAGAGCATTTTAACTCTCATGTGAATGGTGCTTCGTATGTACTGTTACATATTCTGTCGAAACATAGGCCAAATTTGCTGTGCCTTATGGAAGAGCTTCACTCTTGCACACTGGAAAGAACGGCCTTTTTCTTCTGAATTCGACCCTACCTTAGAATCACTGTCAAGAAATCAAACAACTCACAATAATTCTTGTTTCTTTTACCTATGTATCATGTATGGAGAGGCAAGCAATAATATTTCCATCCTCCAGATGACAGTAAGCCTGAAGCTAAGGCAAAAAATTATCAGAGGATGATTCTCAAGATCAAAACTACTGAGAGAATATCACTCTATCTTAGTCACTTTTCTTACTGCAGTCAAACACCTGACAAAGGCAGAAAGGAAGGAAGGGAATATTTTGGTTCAGTTTTAGGGTACAGTCCAGCAAGGTGGGGAAGACGTGGCAGCTGTTAGTACTGCATCTGCCATCAGGAAGCACACAGAGGTAAGTGCTTGTGCTCAGCTCAATTTCTCCTTTTATTCACTCTAGACTATGGGATGATACCATCCACGTTCCAGGCAGGTCATCCTTCCTCAGTTAATCTTTCCTGAAAAGACCCTCATAGACACACCAGTAGTATGTTTCCATGGTGATTCTGCATCTAGTCAAGTTTACAATGAAGATTAGCCATCACTACTCCAGATTTTGTCACCTGGGCATGCAAAAGGTTCATTTTAAATCATAATGTTACAGTCCTGGCCCTTCTTTGCGTTTTATATCTCCAAACATCCCCATTCTTTTTAACAGTCCCTAGACTATACAAAGTTTCTTCTGAAACTCAAGACAAAAATCTTAACTGAGAGTCTCTATAAATCAAAACACACTTTTTATGTACAATGGCACAACCAACATTTCCATTCCCATAAGAAAAATGGGAAGATGGCGAGGAAAGATGGGAACAAAGTAAAACTCAAGGCCCAACAGAGAAAGCACCAGAACTTTAGTTCTATATCTGGCATCTTAAGCTTCTTGTGGAATCATCTGGGCTCCAACAGCCTTGGGAAACCCTACCCCCTACTTCTGCCACTTGTAGCACATGGAACCCACCCCCCCCCCAAATCTCTTGCTTCATTCTATGCTTTTAGTGTTCCTTGGTGGACACATCATAGTCCTGGCATCTCCAACATCCTGTTGCATCCATTGCAGCTTAAGTTTCACCTTCTCAGGCCCCTGAATGTCCTCTCAGGTCCTATTTGCACGGAATTTGACCCTACCACATTTTCTCAGCCTTAGTGACTTTCTAGAACCTTGGTGAACATCATCACCATGACATTTCACTCTTTCATCCTTTATACCTACAAAACAAGTACCACATGGACATCACTGCCAAGTTGTGTTTTCAGCTTTAGATTTAGTCTGGGCCCCCTCTATTATACTTGTATTAACATCTGTATACCTTAGTAACTGAGTCTGAGAAAATACTTTCTTATGCAGATGTTTTTCATCATGGAACTCCTGTGGTAGTTTAATCAGTCAGGCTTTGTTCTTTCAAATGAATGTGTTTTCCCAAACTGGGCACTTTGATGAGTAGGGTCTTGCCCTTCTGATATCTCCCTAATTGTCCCTGTGTAGAGCATGAAGTTTCTCTTTAGTGATGTGATGTCTTTAACAGTTCCAGCTGTCTCAGCACCTGCCTTATCTGCAACTTTAAACTTGTCAAAGCCCCTTTCCTCACCAAACTGTACAGGTTACATTTTTTCTGTTCCACTTGTGCTCTCTTTCACTTTAGATCTGCATAACAAGAGTGAGCAATAACTATACTACAGCCTGAGAGCTATGCTGTCATTAGATTTCCTCCACCAAAGAAATCAATCTACTTATTTTGAAATAAGTCTTACTCAGTTTCTCAAGACATGAGAATGTTGCCACATTCTTTGCCAGAATGTAACACAAATGACCTCTAGCCCAGTTGCTAATAGAGTCTTTGTTTCCCTCCTGAGTCCTGCTGCCACTTTCCTATGAATCTCTCAGCATTTAGGTCTTCTTAACTCTCACCAGAATGCCAAATTAAGCAACACTTACAGCATTCTAAGGCTTCTCTAGCACACACTCCAGACTTTTCTAGATTCCTTCCACAAACCAGTTCCAAGTACCTATGAACCACATGATCATGTTTTTCATACCAATAGACCTCCTCTTCAGTACAAATTTTCTGTATTAGTTCCTTTTTATAATCACTATGACCCAAAACAAAAAAACCTTAAGGGAGGAGGGATTAATCCTGGCTCATTGCGGTAAGCTCATGTGGTAAGGCACAGTTTATCATTGTGGTGAATGCATGATACAGAAGTATGAGGTAGCTCATCAACCCATGTCCATAGCCATGAAGTAGAAAGAGGATAATGCTGGTGCTCAGCTCGATTTCTCTTTGTTTATTCAGTCCAGGATCCCAGTCTATGGGACAGTGTGGTCCATATTCCAGGTGGGTCTTACCTCTTTAGTTAACTTTTTTATTGAAGCACCTTTGTAGACAAATCCGGTATTATGTTTCCATGGTGATCCTAAATCCAGTCAAGTTGACAATGAAGACTAATCATCATCATTCCACCCTTGTCAACTTGACACCTAAATATATCACCCTAAATCATAAATCTCCTCTAAGCCAGATGCTATGCATGGTGTGATTTGATGGCAAAGTTAAGTTGGTTTTTAAAACTTATTCCTAAACTTATTAAATTACCATCAAATTGCAGATTATATATTCAGTTAGTCATCAGTGTTTTGAAACCCTTGTAATCAATTAAAGACCCTGCAGCTTTGATCACAATCTTTCTCAAAGGAATTTGTCATAAACTGTGATTATGGTGGTTATTTCTCCAATTAGATGAACTATCAACTGGGTATTTATTTCTTAGTTCCCAGACCCAAGTCAAGCATTCTACCTGTTCTTGCAAAATTGTGGCCATCTTTAAGCCTGTGTTGGACAAGAACTCCCTGATAAGCAGTCTGCTACTTCCCCAGGAAAAAGAGCTTTCCTGAAAAGGCTCCTCACACTAAAACTATACTTCATGTATCTTAGACCAAAAAAGGAACTAAAACTTCATGAAAAAGGTAGGAACCCACGTTGTGAATGGTACCTCTTTGGATTAGATTCATTAGCTTCATTGACAGTTCTTGGTCCCAGCAACTCTTTCCAATGTTCCACAGCATTTTCTCTCAATAAAACAAGAGCAAGTGATGGTCCACTGTTAGAAAATATAAAAAAGTTAATAAAAGTATGTCTCAGTAGCTAATGACATATAGATAATTTATGTTGTTAAACTGACTAAAACATGTCACATGATCTATAAAGGAACTAAAATTAATATCCACTAACACGTTTTCAAGAGCTTTTTGGATGAGCTGGGAAGCAGAGAGAAGAAGGAAAGAGAAGGGTCTCTGTCCTTTAGAGTGGTTCCTCTGTGGCTGCTGTACTCCAAGTGGTTTATATAACCTTGCTGGATTTTTGCTTCAGCCCATTATCAAAACCCTGACCCAAAACAACCAGACTGCCCAAAGAGTCAGTCATTTTTCAGCTTGGCATTGGTGAAGTCTCCATTTTGGAATTCTGTATCCAATTCAACTGGAAACTGGCCAATGTCCCTGAGATCTTCCCTTTGCCCTAACCACAGTCCAGGAAGGGAGAAAAGATAGTCATCAGAGAGTAGTAGGGCTGATAAAGACGCAGACTAGCAACCTGTTTATAGAATTTAGAAATTTGCCACCTTAGCAAACAGGGGTTAAGAAAAGGCCAGGCGTGGTGGTACATGCTTTTAATCCCAGCGCTTGGGAGGCAGAGGCATGTGGATCTTTGTGAGTCTGAGGCCAGCCTGGTCTACATAGTGAGTTCCAGGACAGCAGGGGATACAGGGAGACCCTGTCTCAAAAAATAAATAAATAAATAAATAAATAAATAAATAAGAAAAGGTTGAAATGAGTAACATGTAAATCTCACAACTCTTTCTAAACATGAACTCTGCTTTACCTGGTTGTATATGCTATAAACCTATTAAAATAGTCTTCATTTTCATGATCCTTGAACAGTGTTTTCACTTCTTCATCTGATAAAACTAATTGTCTCTGCATCAATATTTTAAACCCTTCTTCATGAATAATGTTGAGAATATCATCTAAATAAAACAGTTATGACAAAGTAAGTTTCAAACGTGTAGATGAAAGACTGTTTAAGACAACACATGATGCGGCATATCATGTGCCTGATTCTCTTGTAAAATGTAAAAGTTCATAAAAATATCTTCTTAAGTTTAAAGGTAAATGGTACTCTTTAGAGTATCAAATTATAATGTTGCTTACAATTTTTTATCATGTAGCAATTAAGCACAAAGTCATACTCAAGGGAATACCAGGAAGTATTTTCTTCTGGTGTATATATACCATGTGTATACAGATGGTAACCTAAATAATAAATAACTCAAGTATAAACCTTACTGACTAAATTTTTATATTCATTAGCCATTATATTTCTTGTCTACCTGGGTATAAATAAGTTGACTCAATTTCTAAAAGCATTTCTTAATCCCCTTCTCACTGGCCTGCTTTTCACTGTTGAAGACCTGAAAATAAAGCACCTCTCCATCCTTTCTCACGGACAGTATGGAAACGCAGCCCAGATGTGGTCAGAGACATGTAAAAGGAATATGTTGTTTCTAACAGCCACCTAGGAAAACCTCCCTGCTCTACACTAGCTTACTGCTTTTGAACATTTGAGGATAATAGAGATGGGATCTGTAGACAGCACTGTATAAACCAAAAAATACAAATCTTAACTCAGAGCCCAGTCAGTATTATCCTGATTGATAATTTGTTCATTCAGAGAGTGCGAACTGGGTAAGGCATACTCAAGAGCAATCAGCCATCAGTCTGCAGGCAAGCTTGGTTTCATTAGCTGCAGACAACTTTTTTCCCACAATAACTTCCAATATCTTTGCTCACAGGCCATTACAAGTACCTAGTGAATGGCCAATTGATTGAGAAATTAGATTTCATTTCTTAAACTTACCCCCAGGTGGCCTCAAATGAGAGCTCTCTTTGAAATTTAATAATGCAAAACCAAAAGGCAATGCTCTAATCTTCTCTAAAAGTTTATATGATTCTACCTTTATAAATTTTAAAACTATGTAGTTGGTTTTCTTTTTTTAGTAAAGTAGTTGTGAAGCCTATTAAGCTACGTTAATATGCAGGATACCTCACAGGCTTAACCGACTCCTTAAAATTGTTTGTTCACTTCTAGGTTATTAGATTTGTTCCTGTCCATCAGGGGAGAGATGAGATAGAGGCTTATGCTTAATGTCAGTAAGAAAGAAATGACAGAAGTCACTATCTTTCTTATACAAAAACTAAAAGTATGGTGGAAAATTAACAACAACCCAAACAAGAATTATCCTCCAAAGGAAATAGCTCTACCCCCCACCAGCAGGAACTACAAACAAGTACTAGATGAGGACATACGTTGGAGCAAATCAGTTTATGAGTGTATTTGCCTAGAAATAAATTAATAAGAGCTATTAAAAGAAAACTAGCACATTACACAGAAGATACAGTAGTTTAACTGAATGGAGGTATATTATATTTTTGAAAAAATTAAGAATATATATGTATGTGTGTGTATGTGTAGGGTTGTATGTATGTGTATGTGTGTATGTGTGTGTGTGGGGGGGTGTGTGGTGTGTAGGACAGAAGTCATTAAGTAGATTAGACTGGCTGGCCAGTGAACGCCTAGGAACCACTTGTCTCTGCTTCTCCAGTGCCAGGATTGCATGAATGAACCACTACACCTGGATTTTTCTGTGGGTGCTGGGGATTAGACTCATGTCTTGATACTTGGGGGGTGGGGGGAAGCACTTTAGTGGCTAACATACTGCCCTAGCCCCAAGTATACCAATTTTATCTAAATTAAATATCTATACAGACTTTGTTTTGGAATTTCATGAAGTGATTTAGAATAATAAGTGATCAAAACTTGAGGTTAGAATCAAACCAGGGATGTTAGAGACTGATGTCTGATAAGCAGCTCAAAGTTTCTTTTTCCTGTTTATTATCATCCGATCATGCTCAATCATCACTAAGATTTCTGTAGCACAGTAGCCATCTGTTATTATGTTATCTACTATAAAATTCTTCATAAAAGAACAAAAACTATTTAAGGAAAGTGGTTGACAAACTTGTAAGAGAAGAAGGTGAGCTTTCCGAGCCTCATTGAGGGGGTACTTGTTTTGTTTAGAAATGTGGAAAGAGTACATCCAGTAATGGGAGTCTGGTGCTCAGGAGAAGTCCAAACAAAGGTGGTATATGGACTGGCAACTGATGTTAAATACCGGAGAGAGACAGGAGAGAGGGAGAGAGGGAAAGAGGGAGGGAGGGAGAGAGAGAGAGAGAGATAAACAGGGGGAGAGATATACAGGAGAGAGAGAGAGAGAGAGAGAGAGAGAGAGAGAGAGAGAGAGAGAGAAACGGGATTATTTGAATCCTGCTCTGGCAATTTGGAAGATATCAGTTTAACTAGAAAATTGTGGGACAAACATAGTTTCCCCTACTTAGAGGGAGGTGAGGTGAGGATGAAGGTTAAGAAGCCTTTAGAGACTATAACAACCCTGTGAAAAGTGCCATCACAGGCAGCACAAATGTAAGGTATTGGGTAAAGGGGCTGAGACCCAATGAAGGTTTTGGGCTTTCTTTTTATGTTTTAAAATTATGTTTATAAGAATGTTGTAGTGTATCTTTGTTGTAATCAGAAAAACTATGCCTTGGGGGAGAAAGTGATGTCGCAAGAGAATAATAGGCAACTTCCAGTGGGCATTCCTCAGGAAGCAGAGGTGACAAGCAGTAAGAAAGGGTGGGTCATATATACAAAAGGTTTGTCTTCTTTTCCGAACAGGCAAAGATGGTACTTTTTTCCTTTAAAGAGTAATAAGGCTCTGCTTCCCTGGGCCAGCGCTACCCACAGGTCTCTCTCCAACCCGCAGACCTCTCTCCAACTGGCAGGCCTCTCTTCAGGGTAAGTCCATCGTGCCCTATGCGCCTTAACTCCCCCAGCCTCATTCACCCTCCCATCTTCCCCGCAGATCTCTCCTCCCAGCCTGGTCCTGTCCCATTCCTTGTCTTGGCACCCCAGACACCTGGGGAACCACTACCTTCCTGATCCTTTGCATCCAGTCCAACCCAGTTCCTTCCTTCGCAGGTCCCCAAGAGCACTCTGGGCCTGGCCCCATCCTCACCTCCCTCTACTTCCCTGGGCCTGCACAACCCGCCACCCTCTTTCCTGGGTGCTGGGGGCTGACCTTTCCTTTTCCGGATCCTTTGCATCCAGACCAACCCAGCTCCTTAGTGCAGTCCCCATGGGCCCTTGGGGCTGCCTCCCACCCCCATCTTCCTTTGCATCTCGGGGTGGCATGGCCACCAGCTGCCCTAGACCAGCATCTTTTCTGGGCCAGGCTCCCAGGCCAGTCCAACCCCCAAATTCCTGAGGCCAAAAATCATTCCTGGAGGGATCCAGACCTTAGGAGAAAGCCTGAGAGCATCTGATCATCATCTGACTTGAGCCTCTGTGGGAACTCCTCAAGACAAAAACAAGCTGGCCATTCCAATATAAAATCAAAAGAGAGAACCCGAAGCTTAGAGGAACCAGCTTTTCATGCCCAAAACAGTAAACCACAAAGAAACATAAAGTTTACAAAAAGAAGCAGACCTAAACTTGAAGGCTTGAGTCTCACACAAAAATCAG